GATATATTTTTTATTTTGTATTATTCCTTCTTAAAGGTAATGTCTGATCGTTCGCTTCTTCATCAAATGCTTCAATTCGGTTCCAAGGTTGTTCGTTACCGCTTCCAAAGATAGTGTAAACCAATATCTCGATTATGTATAGAATAATCGTTACGAGGAATACAATTCTCCACGCCTCTATAGTTTGCTGTAAATAATAAAAAAAACAAAATACGCTGATATATTCAACGTAATCAACAAAGTGAAACAAAATTGATTTAAGAACTTTTTATTCCTTTGGAACTAATTTGGTCTGTATCGTCCCATTTTCACCTTGAAACTTTAAAATTCTTTTTGTCATATTACTTACATTTCCGTGAGTCAATTGTCCTACGAATACCGGTACGACGAAACCGGGTATGGTGGCGACGAAATTTGTTATCGCCACCAGACTACCGGCAAAGTTCGGTGCAATGTCTATATGGTTTGCCAGGAAACCAGAGTACATTCCGCCGATACAAGTCACCGCGATCGTCATCAACACGACTGCTTTTGTGCGATCGCACCCGATGTATGACACCTGTATCAAGCATAGCATGGGTACGAGCGAAGCTGCAACAGTTTTAAATTTAATTAAATTAAAAAATGCATTTAAAAATAATGAAAATAGCTATGTAAGATATCCAAAATACATATATTGTTTACATGTAACGCAAATACTAATTTAAAGTCGAATTTTTTAAAATTTGATTGATTAATTATTAAAACGTACCAAAAAGAGTACCAATTTTTCTTGATATTGTCACTGTGATAAGACCTTTTTTCTGTAGGATGGCTAATACTTCACTGAGAATCATGGTGAAGAGCCACATGCAAAAAAACGGGATGGACGATAAACCTGTGTTCTGACGATAGCATAAACAAATTAATTTATGATATATTAAATCGCATGCATTAAAGCAAATTTTAAAGCAGTTCTTACCGAGCTCATATTGAACTTCAAAATCTGATTCATAAAGGTAGGCAATTCGATCAGCAACATGTACCAGCCGAAATTACTGCAAAAATGGGCAATCAGGATTGCTATGAATGGTTTGGAACGAAATACTTGTAGCCATGGAATCTGCAATAAATGTGGATGGATAAAAAAAATGAAGAATTTTTTAATCTAACGCGAGAATTAAACCTTTTAATTTTAATTTTCAACGTACCGCTTTGGGAATATTCTTCTTATGTCCTCCCAAAGACATGATGATGTAGTTCTTTTCCTCTTGAGTGATGAATCTCGTTTGTTCTTCCGGGGAATCCGCTATCATCAGCCACCAAATAGTGCACCAAATCAAACAAAGTGCGCCTTCAATATAGAAGATGGATTCCCAACCGAGATTTACAGCCAACAAGCCAGTTAGTAGAATGGAAATCACAGTGCCGAGTGCCGTTCCTAAAAGTTCCTCAAAATTTGATTCCTTCAAAGAAAATTTTACGATGCGTTCGAAAAATTCCAGATATCAAATATATCTATATTATCATGATTTTTACTAGAATCTTATCAAGAAAGAAACTCAATTTTACAATTTTCGCGTTATAATTACAGACCACGAAAGAATCGCAGAATCGCGATGAAAGATTTTGGTATATATTTCTAAAACTTCGCCAAAGACGTCTTTTATAATTTTTCTTCTTACCTGCATACACGATCGAGGCGATAACGTTTCTTTCATGTGGCGGCGCCCACTTGGCGATCATCACGTGCATGGCGGGGAATGATACACCCTGTAATTCAAGCGCTCGAAGTTATAATCGTATTGGAATACCAAGTCTGTTAACATAACATAAGTTATTACTGACACCACCGATTCCCTGAAGAAATCTCATAGCTATGAAGAGCCAGTAATGTATACGAGCAGCGATGGGCGTCAGTATGGATGCAACGAGATTCAACAGAACCGATCCATTCATCAACCACTTAGCTGACCAGAGTTCTGCTAATCTCCCACCGGGCAACATAGACACTATGTAGCCCCAGAAATAGGAAGATAGAATGAGGCCTTGAATAAATTCGTTCCATACGAATGGACCGTCCTAAAAAGATGCGGTAACAGTTTACAAAATATTCTTTTTCGAGTTTCTTTTTTTTTTTTATTAAAATGCTGAAGTTTTTTTGCCAAAGCTATGACATAGAGATTGCTTGTGAATCTTTTTGTTACAGTAAGATCATCACCTCATTTTTTATCGTCGTGATATCTGAGATATCATCGAACTGACAAATGTTCGTTAGCGTGGTATTGTCAGTTTCTGAATTGTTTGACGTAGATAATTCGATGTCTGATTTAATAGCTGTATGATTCACCATAGCGACGATAGCCACGCTGGCATTGACTTTAAAGCCATAAAGAATAGCGAGACCGATCGATCCCATTACGGCCATCAGATATCGGAACGGACATGCCGTTCTGTTTTCTCCTATAATTAGAAATAAATATTATAATCAGATGCTTTTTTTAGTATAAAATTAATGAAAGAGAATTATCATATATTTATTTATATGATATTTATATATCGCAATTCTTTAATATTATACAGATATTTTACTAAACTTTAAATTTTAAATTTCTATCTTATTTTTTATGACGAAAGTTGAAATAATATTTGAATTTATTTAATTTAACTTATCTTTTATTATCCAATTTATCGCGACGTGAAATGATGCTAATTGTCAGGACAATTATACTCGTGAATCGTATTCGAATTCTTACTTTTTCACAAATATGTGATGAGTTGCACATAGCATTTGTCATCTACCTAACAAGTCGTAAATGATTTTTCTTTTGAAATGTCACGACAAAATTATGATACTTGCACACTTGGTTGCTTAAACTAATATATTTTTAGATGCGCGAGAATTGTTTTTACAACGGAGGAACAAAAACAAGTTTTCTAAATTGAAACTATTTTCTACTCGCGAGCGAAATGTTCTTCGATTTTAAGAAATGAATTTTCCGCGTCTGGCTTGACGTGAAATCGATTTTGTATGTTCAAAGGCGTACCCAAGAGATTATTTTAAGAACGAGAATTTGCGGCGCGCCGACATGCGGGCCGTCACTTTGAACAACACAATGTCATCCTGATGCAACTCTGAGTTTCTATGACGATCTCGCAGTTTTCTATCCACACGCGGAATTAAATTTATATATTATTTGAATTTAATTGTATCTTGTAAATTTTTGCAATTCCGAATACATGTTGAATGCATGTGATAAGGACTTATCGGCACTTGCATAGCATTGCATCCGGTTGCGTCGTAATGCATTCACACATGTTGCACATTAGCTGGAAATCAATTTTCAATCAATAAAATTAACCAAAATTCTATGCGTCTCGCGAAAATCGATCTGGAGTAGAGGACGCGTCAAAGTCATGGAAGGTGACTCAACCTAGAGCTGTCTTGAGTATTTTTTGAACAATTGAATTAAATGATGCAATTTTTATACATACGTAATTAGAGTTTAAGAAATCTAATTTAAAAAATTGTGATTGAAAGTTTTTTAATAATTAAAAGCACTTTAACAAAAATTAATAATATACATAAAATATCTTTATCTTTTCTGAATAATTTTTTTATTACTTTATTAATTTCTTCCTCCTAATATTTTATCATTCTAAAGTACATTTGCAGGATTAGAAAAATCCTGATTTTTCTAAGAGCCAGAAGAATCATTGCTTACCAGTATTTTCCATGGCCATCGTACTAATAGGAACGTATCTTCCACAATACCCAGAGGATTCCAACGAAGATGTATCGCAGAAAAGTAATTAACCACGTTTCTCCAATATTTTCTGTACTCTTATTCAATTTTATACCGCGTCGCAGAATTTTCTTCCTCTCGAGTGGACCTATTCTGGTGTCTGTCGGATCGCTTCCGGCTCGCCACGGGAGTAGCGTGCCACTGATGTAAAGCGGCACGGGAAAGCCGAGAAATTCTTAGAGCGACTCCGGTCCGGTCTCCGGAGGGATGCCGAGCGTGCGCCTCTTCTATAAACGCCCGCCGCACGTATGCGCGTACGTGAGTGCGTGAGTAGGAAGGATCACACGAAATACAAGAGGCCGATGCCTCGTACTCTCATCTCAGTCATTGACTTTGGCGGCCGGCGTGCAGATAAAGGGCAAAGGGTGAGCGGTTGCATCACTTGCCTCTGCATTTCGCGAGTAATGTCCATTTCTACCAATGTATAGATTAACTTTAATCTCGGTTTAACTTACTTTTGATCTTTTTCTATATACAGAAAAATACTGTGCGCAAATAATAATTACTTGTTTCAAGAGAGTATTTTAAAAGTTTATATATATTCACAAATCTTATCATAAGTTCATCAAAAGTATCAAATTCGTTCAAAATGTATTCTGAATCCTAGTAAGTTTAATACTTCAATCAAGATCAATAAGTTAAAAGTTAAAACATGATAGTGAATTTTTCTAAAACTTTTTTGTAATAAGTATATATATTCTAAGATTATTATTATATAAAAAATATTCTTTGTTAAAAATAACTGTTACTTAAAAAAATGAATTGAATAATCACTTTTCTTAGTAATAAAACGATATTTTCTGTGTAGTTGTAAAAGTTAGAAAAAGATAAACAGTAAATTAACTCGAAATTAAAGTGAATCTACATTGAAATGGGCTTAAGTGAAAAAGTGTCGATTAATAATCATTGTTTTTATCAATCAATAACTGTACAGCTCAGATCATTTCAGCAATATTACAGCAACATTTACAACTTTCTGTAATATTGAAGCAATATTGCAATGTTGCAAATTTCTGTGCTGTATGTGAAATTAATGATAAAATAATTAATATTAAAACAATAAAGACAAATGAATCATTTAAAAGTATGAATACAATAACGATAATTATATTATTATTAGAAAGAAGTTTTATGAATGAAAATTCTCTCTAAACTCGAGTTTTCTATTTTGATTTTTGATACTTCTCTCGTTGGGCTCTCCTTGGCCCACCGTGTACTTGTTTTTAGGACCGCTCATGTTCTCTATACCGAGCGTAAAATTTGTTCATTTGAGCGAACCTGAAGCTAGGCTCGAGCGAACATCGAGCATGTAAGATGAAAAAAATGTCGACCGCGTTTACAAATTTTTAATATACGTAACAGAGACTTTCTTTCTCTCTCCTTCTTCTCACATTCTTTCGTTATCCCCACGTGAGCTCATGATCTTATTAGTGTGTGGGTCGCCAAAAGCGTCACAGTGAACATGAGCGCAAACTCGGAGGCCGGTGATCATCTTGACGAGATCTACGACTGGATCGATCAAATTAAGTTTTCCAGGCCCAAAAGAAACATAGCCAGAGATTTTTCCGATGGAGGTAACGAAAAAACATGATCTCTATATAATTTTATATAAATCCATTTGTCAATTCCTTCCCCGCGAAAGGTCGATGGTCTCCCAAGATTAGGTTTATTTTTTTATAGCTGAACTAATATACACTCTTTGTATTTAAAATGAAATAGGTATATGTTCGATATTTGGCAAAAGCGAGAAATTTTTATGCATTCTAGCGCAGTAATAAAAAAATCTATTTCCTTCAAGAATAACATTACAGAAAATTTAATCACTATGTTTAAACTTTAGTGTTGATGGCGGAGCTGTTGAAACGCTATTACCCTAAGCATGTAGACGTGCATAATTATGTCGCCGGCAACAGCATTGCAAAGAAGACTGACAATTGGAGCACGCTGAATCGCAAGGTGCTGTCGAAAATCGACATAAGGCTGGGGAAGGAGGCAATCAATCAGCTGGCGAGTTCCCAACCAGGCGTCATCGAGAAAGTCCTCACCGATCTGCGAGTCAAAATCTTGAAGGATTCAGAGAGAGACAGAGAGTTGTTATACTTTGGCCACGAGGACAGTAAAGGTGGCTATTTAACTGTAACAAATTATCTTTAGATTCTTCTTTCCTCGAATCATTTTTAATTTCTACAGTTAGTATAGAGACAGTAAAATCGGTGCTAAATGACGAGTTAGCGAACAAGACGGTCCCTCGGCACATTTTCACTCGATTAAAGCAAGAGCTGCAGGAGAAAAACGACACTATCTCCACATTGCAGCAGAAGATCTCGCATCTGGAAAGCATAATGAAGCTGAAGGACCAACGGATCGACGACCTCACATTGCAGATCACAAGGCTGCCCGTTGAACGAAATGTTGCTATGCCTCATCCTCACGTTATTGGCAATGGAATCTCGAAACGCGTTTCCAAGTTGTCATAATAAAACTTATCGAGAAATGTGTCACGTGCTCTCCGATTGTAGCTTTTATATAACAAAGCATAGCTTGTTCTTTTTTTTTTTTTTAACATATGTATCATGTATAAAAGAATACACTTTTTATTATCATCTAGTTGGGCCATTCATGTAATCTTACAATATTATACATGAAATTATAGTATGTATAGTATAACTGAATTAAATAGAGCAGTCATGAAATCTTTTTTGATCTTTCAGGTGTTCAGCTCGGGTCCTATAAATCTTTTGGATATTTTAACAAAACAGAATCCCATAGTAAATTATATAGACAATATTGATAGCTTCACACACGAAATGGTGCATCAAATGTCAAGCTGATTTTATGTGGGTGGAGATACCAGGATGACACCGTCGCCGCGTACAAATAGCATCTGGATGGTTCTCTTTTTCTGGCGATAGATCTCCTCGTATGTTTCTTCGTCGATCTCCACTATGTTTATGATCTCTTCCACATCACCCAGCACCATGTTCAAGTGTTGGTCGAAAGCCTGAAATTACATTAAAATGTAAGAACCGTTTTACAAACAATAGAAACAAAGACTTATTATCTCTTCTTAGCTGTATTTTTCTTTTGTTCTATTTCGAATCATCCAAATAATTTTAATTAGACCTAGTAGGAAGTAATGGAAAGTTCCTTACATGTAGTTTTCCTCGGAGTTCTCTCTCGTTTCTCATCTTTACATAAATCCGCTCCTCCAGGCTTAGCTTTATGAGGTCCAACGGCTCCTTCACATCTATTGGTGGTAACTGTTTTGGAGCAACATCCAGGATTATTTACAGACAAGTATTTGCAGTAGCAATCTATGTGGACTCAAAACTCACCTGCTCTGATTCCTCAACCATAGCGCGTTTTTTAAGTTTCTTGTGACAATTGCGTAATAATCGGCGATCAACGACGCAATCGAGGATCGAATTAATGTGTAGAATTTAAATATCTCGTAATTGATGTATTATAGGAGATTATAGGTTACCGGCTACCACCCTAGAGGTAGAATATAACTGATCTGCGTGTCGGTGTTTTACTGTGGTTTAGAGAAGGAAGTGGAAGCAGACGCCATATTGTTATTTCCCAATTCTTGCAATTTAACAATTAATTAAAAAGAATATCTTTTCACCTAATATAATTTCATTCTGTCTTTATCACTCATTACTTGCGACACTATGACAGTAAAGGCAACCAGGTAAATTTTTTTACTATCAAGCGAGCCTGATGGGCCCGAAGATAAATGAAGAGCGATGACATTATCGACCATTTTAATTGTACTGAGCACTGAGGATAACAAATGTGAGCTGCAGACTGCAGGCATGTTCAAAATCGAGATATAAGGGTGCCGTCACATGCGGCGTAACTTGCGTAAGCGTAACTTGCGCCGACCAATCATATCATTTCACTTGAACATCAGTTTCTGTCTAGTCACTTTATGCTTTTTACACTATTTTGTTGTTACGCCGAAACATGATAGAACCACTATGCGTCGAATCTAATTTCTGGCTCATTTTAACTTATTCTGTCTGAAAAAATGCACAAGGATTTCGATTTTGTAACAGTACAATTATAAAAGTCGTGCGCCCCTTTGCATCGCTTGAAAAGTTGAAACCCATGTGGAACAGTACAATTATAAACCTCATTTTCCGATTTTAATAATTTATTCGATCATCCCCTCATACATACGCGATGGAAAGGTACCGATTCCCCATGAGGCGTACTTTTCGAGATGCGTAGATTACGAAAACCAATCGTAAATTCATTTAGCATTTCTGTTAGAGT